GCCTCGCTGCCAGCCTCCCCCAATGGTGAATGGCTTGGGGGTCGGGAGGGGGGGTGACCAAGAGGTGCTCCATGCACTTCATGGTGACCATTCACCTGTGCAGTCATGATGGCACCTAGGTCTATATATATTAGGACTAGGGGCCCAGTGCACAAATTCATGCACCTTGAAAGGAACTGTGGGCTGCAAGGCTGCGGTGGGCATGGGTGGGTCTCAGCCCATCCTTTGCGCCCCCACCTGGCCCCTCCCACCACGGCCCCCAGCCCCCTGTCTGCCAGCAGCCATGTGGGATGATCAAGGCCGGCAGCTGCCGCTCGCACCTGCTGATGGTGCCCTGAGATTGGGACCTGCGCTGGGCACGGACAGCAGGTGTGAGCGCTGGGCAGGACTGTGGTCCACGGGAGCAAAGAATTTTCAGTAACCACCAGCGGCTTGCCCTGATGACAGCGACTGGCACCCCGCCTTGGTCTGGTGCCCCTGCTCACCTGCTCCACCATCCCACTGTGGCCGACACCCGCCATGTACCATGCTCTGCCGCCTGCTGCCAACACCTGCCATGTTCCGCGCGTGCCCCTTGGTGGTGTGCGCAGTCATAGTGACTGGTTGTTCGGTTGTTCCGCCATTCAGTCTATTTGCATATTAGCCTTTTATTATATAGGATGAGCTTTGAAATCCAGTTTGACCTTACTCCTGAGTTGTTTGGAATATAGGAAGTAAAGCAGTTTAGAAATTAAAGCCTAGGCTATCATAATTAAGATCTTTCTTGCAAATAACAACAATGGTAAACTCCTTAACTGGTTGTAACTCCTATGATAAAAATTATTTCTTGATTTGGACAACAAAGGCAGAGGAATTTTGACAAAAAATTTTTTCAAAAAATTTTGAGCAAAAAAAATTGCACGTGCCGCTTGAAACTGAGGAGTACAGGGAGAAAAACCAGAGGAATGGAGCACCCACACTATTTCATACAGCGTAACACCTGCCTATCAAATTAGCTTATTATCTTAGTCTGCGATAGTTCTAAAGACTATAGATTCAGTACTCTTTGGTTTAAGAAACTTTGCTTTCAGTATCTACAGGGTGGGCAAAAGTAGGTTTCTAGTTATTTGCAGGGGAAAAAAACAATACAATAATTAATTCATAAATAATAATACAAAAATAAACTATAAACCTACTTTTGCCAATCCCCGTATTGTAAAATCTTGAATTTTATAGACTGACACAACAAAAGTGACATTAGAGCAGTGGTTCTCAACCTTCCTAATGCCGCGACCCTTTAATACAGTCCCTCATGTTGTGGTGACCCCAACCATAAAATTATTTTCATTGCTACTTCATAACTGTAATTTTGCTACTGTTATGAATCATAATGTAAACATCTGATATGCAGGATGTATTTTCATTGTTACAAATTGAACATAATTAAAGCAGAGTGATTAATCACAAAAACAATATGTAGTTATATATGTGTTTTCCGATGGTCTTAGGCAACTCCTGTGAAAGGGTTGTTGGACCCCCAGAAGGGTCGTGACCCACAGGTTGAGAACCGCTGCATTAGATAGAAGATAGGATGATGAGATCATCACCACACACTTACTGAATATCTCCTAAGGTACTAAATATTCTGTTAAGTGCTTTATACTCTTTCATTGAATCCCATTGAAAGTGCAATAATCCTCTGAGGCAGATGCTATAGTCAACCCCTATTTTACAAGTAAGAAAACTGAGGTCAAAATAAGTAAACTACCCAGGATCACATAAGTACTAAATGGCAGAGTCATTTGTCAATTCAAATGTGCCTGGCACCAAAGCTCATATCTTTACACCATGATAAGCCCTTTATTTTACAGAAAGGGGAAGTAGAGAGACAAAAACCTATGGTCGCTCTCCTTCGTAGTCTAGGTCTTTTTCTGCCTTATATCCTCTTAATAATTTGTTTATTCTTATGCATTTTGTTAAGTATTTCTGGCCTCTGTGCATCTGACAAATGCACCAAATTGATACAAAAATTAGTAGATACTTTTAATTGATACATTTAGATAGAATAAGATTTAGATTTTAAAACTATGTAATGAATTCACTTGAATGGATTTTTAGTGAAGCATTTTCTACCAGATTCCCATAAAGGAGACACTGTCTCTCATGTGCTATTAAAAGTTGGACCTTGTGACTACTGTCTGACTATGTTTTTCTTTTGGAGAAGTCAGAGGGGGCAGTCTGACTTCATGTAAAAAATAGCCACCAAAGATATATCCAACATCATTTTTAGTTCTTTAATTTCGGTCAGCCCACATTTTCAAAACAGATTAAATTTGTCTGGTTTATTTCAGAAGTATATATTACAAAGCATTCAAAGGCAAGTGAAAATTCAAATGCACAGAGCAGAGCTAGAGAGCTTTCTACAGAGGCTCTTCAGAAGGTAAGCATTTCTCCTGCTTTGGCTATTGTATTTTCAGAAACATGTTCCCATTCTTTTTTATTATTAAAAGCATAACTCATTAGTGTAAATATTTTTCATATTCATTTGACATATTGCTAAAAATGCTGTTTTGTTTGTTTTTGTATTTTCAAGAGACAGAAGGCATACTGTCAAGCCCTAAGGATTCTACCGTTTCCATCTCTACCCTGAAGAGACTTGGAAATTAATGGGTAACATTTTGCATGAAAATTTCTAAATGCTATTTGCTCTTATCTCTGAGGCCTTCTGTGGAGAAGTAATAGGAGGTTGAATGAGCAAATGGATAAAGTGAACCGTCTTAAAGGATTGAAGTTCCAAAAATATATCAGCAGGACTGGACAGGTTTGAGATAATGAGATTTCTATTTTAGCTTGACTTCTGAAACTCTGAATAAACTATAAACTGAGCTACACAAGGTCCTGGGAAGGAAGTTTTTCTTCTAAACTATTCTAGTTACATATAACATTTTTCTTACTTAGATCCTTTGAAAAAATATATATTTAGTCATCAATAGGAATAAGACTATTATACACGTACCAACTTGTAATGTATGAAGTGGGAGAGAAAGTAGCAAATTGTGTCATACAGGAAAAGACATTTAATTAAAGAAACGGACACCAGGAAGAGGAGAAATCTCTATATAAGTGCTGGTTGAGATGGCAGAAGCTTCTGCAGATGCCTCAACTCTCCCCGTAACAGTGAAAAAGAAGAAAAGTTTATCCATTGAAGAAAAGATCGACATCATAAACGCAGTAGAAAGTGGCAAGAAAAAAGCAGAGATTGCAGCCGAATATGGAATAAAGAAAAATTCATTGTCCTCTATTATGAAGAATAAAGACAAAGTTCTAGAAGCCTTTGAATCTCTGAGATTTGATCCAAAGAGAAAAAGACTGAGAACTGCTTTCTACACAGATCTGGAAGAGGCATTAATGAGGTGGTATCGAATTGCTCAGTGTCTAAATGTACCAGTTAATGGTCCAATGTTGCGTCTAAAAGCAAATGATTTTGCCCAGAAACTGGGACATAATGATTTTAAGTGTAGTAATGGTTGGCTGGATCGCTTTAAATCCAGGTATGGTTTAGTATTCAGAGCTCAACCTGTAGAAGCTACAGGTGTATCAGTAGACCCTTCAGCGGTGTGGCACCAAAATGTACTTCCTTATTATTTAAATGATTATCATCCTAAAAATGTTTTCAATATAAAAGAGACTGGACTGCTTTATCGAATGTTACCTACAAATACATTTGCATTTAAAGGAGAAACGTGCTCAATTGGAAAGTTATGCAAAGACAGATTAACGCTGATGGTTGGGACAAACATGGATGGCTCCGAAAAACTTCCTTTGCTTATCATTGGGAAAAACAGAAATCCACATTGTTTCAAAGGAATAAAATCATTGCCTGTGTGTTACGAAGCTAACAGAATGGCATGGATGACCTCAGATATATTTGAACAGTGGATGCTGAAGCTTGATGAGAAATTTCAAGCCCAGCAACGAAGAGTGGTGATTTTTGTTGATTCTCTTCCTGCACACCCAGAGGTGAAGAACCTGAAGTCCATTGAGTTAGCGTTTTTCCCGTCATGTTTGTCTCCCAAATTTATAGCTATGAAACAAGGTGTTATTAAAAGCCTTAAAATCAAATATCGACATTGTCTGATCAAGAAATTTTTAAGTTCTGTTGAAGGCAGCAAAGAATTTACATTTTCCCTACTAGATGCAGTTGACACATTGCATCTCTGTTGGAGGGCTGTAACCCCAGAGACTATTGCTAAGAGCTATGAAGAGGCGGGATTCAAATCTCAACAGGGAGACAGCGACAAGACAAATACAGAGTCCAACGCTGGTCTTGATTTGGTTGCCCACGCCCAAGCAGCAGGAGTAGAGTTTCCAGAAGGTTTATCTATAGAAGAGTATGCTGCCCTGGACGATGACTTGGAGACATGTGAAGCAGCGCCAAGTGGTGATACGGTCTGGACCAAAGAAAGTAAATCAGATGAAACTGGATTTTATACTTCTGATGAAGAGGATGATGGTGGGTCTGTGGGAACTGAACTTCCCTTACCCTCAAAAAATGAGGCAATAACTGCTTTAGCTACTCTTAAAAACTTTCTTAGAAGTCAAGATATGAATGACGGGCTTCATAATTCTTTAGCAGACCTTGAAATTTTTATTAACTCTTTATCACTTAAGTAATTAATTATTTTATAACAACTGAAGACTAATACCTTTTCCTGAGATATTTTTCTGTATGAGGTATGTAAAGGGAAAATACCACAAACACAGAAAATGAAAAATTAGTGCATTTGGTTTACTTGCAAATGTCTGGTCTGATTAGTAAAATTCCCTATGTACATTAAGTAAATGAAAAAGCTGAATTTCAATTTAGCAAGCTTTTGGAAAGTAGAAATGTATTTCAGAGGCCTGTACTTGAAAATATGGTAAATGTGTTAAAAATAAAAAAACTATCCAGCTATCTGATTTATACAGATTGAATTGGTGATTACTATTTTCTTTCTTTTTTAATGTGTAGGTCATGTTCCAGAATATTTTAACTTACCTACCTCATTTAAGGAACAAAATATTTATTATTGCTTAGATATTTATTTTATAAGTACATATATATGCCATGTATGTTTTAACTAGACTCTTAAGGATCAAGTATTAATTTTAAAATTTAAAATTTTTCTAATAACGAGCTAATATTTTAAAAAATAAATGATAAAAAAACTACTGAAAATAAAACTGGACCCAATCATACACCAAAATGATTAAAAATTTGTCTTAACTATTTTCAAGTTATTTCTATATAAGTTCAAACAAAAGACTGTGACATCAGACTTTTCTTATCATCTAAAAACAGAAGATGATATGGATTCTTTCTAAATATTTGTATGTATATGTGTGTGAAAATAGTAAAATACATTATTGAAACATTTGTTAAACTCTTATGATATTTATATTGTAATAAGACTACTCTTAAAAAAGGAGATATATGTACTACTCTTTGTAATAATACTTTAAGCAATAAAATAAAATTTAAAAATGAATAAATAAAAAATAAATATGAAGATTGCATATATTGCTACTAGAAAAAAATATCTTATGTGGTTCTTAGTTTTCTAATTTTAACAGCTGAAGCTTATAATCTATAATATTTATTTCCTTGATCTTACTGAATCTTATTTTTAGTAAAAGCTGAGTGTCCTTTAGCATATTCTAATGTATTTAATCCCCCCTCCATGGTAATATTTTGGATTAAATTTCTGTTTGAGGAAGCTTTGTCTACAGAATGTTTTAAAATATTGTATCCAATTATTTACTCTTTATCCACAAAATAGCCTGCAAACAGTAAAAATATAATAATGGGTCAGACTTTTATTTTTTACTTATTTATTTATTTTTTAAATCTTTGTTGAAGTAATACATAGATCCTCCTCTTTCCCCCATTAACCTCTTCCAGCCCGCTCCAGTCCTCCCCACCCCCAGGCCCTCACCACTCCTTTGTCTGTGTCCATGGGTAATGCATATATACATACAAGTTCATTGGGTCAGACTTTTATATTGTTAAATTTTAAATTGTATGCTTATTTAACTCATTATATCTAATTTAGGGTCCCCTTTTAAAACTATTTTGGAAAATGTAAAACATTATCCAGTTTCTTTTTATTATGAATTATTAGTGTGCCAACAAGACACATTTCAAATGAAATATTCATAGAAAGTATTTTTATTTTCCATTGTTGATTTACTCTGCTTTTGAGATTTTGTAATAGCAACACTTAAAATGTGTTAAAATTAAGAGTTTGTTTTAGAATGAAATATGGATTATTAAAATCATTTTTATTGATGATTTGATTTAAAATTTTAGTGTGGTAGAATTTTGGGCCAAAAGTAGCTCTTCAGAGCCCCAGCTATAAATATAATATCTGGCATATATTGAGTTCTCAACAATTTTTTTCTTTCTTTTTGTATTTCATAACATTTTTTGATCAAATATTTTCATTTTAGTAATTTAAGATACTCTATGACTTAAGGATTATTATCTTCATATTTACAGATGAGGAATTTAAAACCTGGAAATACTAAATTCTTTGTTTAGAATATTAGAGCCTAAGCTAAAATGCAGCAGTTCCTTGTCACCTTGTCCTGTGTTATTCTAACTAGATACCTTTATGCTGCTTTTCTGTACTCTATAAAAGAAAATTCTATTATTTTCCCCTTGAATTTAGGGGCCTGAGGGTGAAATATTTCAGAGAACATGCTGAAACTATGCTGATGGCTCTATCACAAGATCTCTCCTGAGAACACTATTACTAATGAAATACTGGAAACCGTCTGATTTGGCAATTCTGTACCATTCTAACACACAGGTTCCAGTGGAGTTCTATTGAAAGTATTTAAAGCAACTTCAATATTTCTGAAGTGCAGAAAGCATCTACTCCTTTTTTCCTTTATATGATATGACTCCTTTTTTTGTTTTTGTTTTTACTTCTAGGGCATAATAAACGTAAAGATGATTTAAAAAGACAAGGCTGCTATATAAAGGATAAGAAAAACTTCAAATTTAAATTCAAAGACAAACTTCAAGTTGTTAATGTTGTACACTCTTCTGTTAAATTTACAAAATATGTAGATGCAAATAGTTTTCAGAACAATGAAAGTTAAATATTCATTTGTCCTAGGACATAGAGGATTGCGCTGCATACCTTGCTCCTGATTTATCTTCTCTATACAATCAATGCAAGTTGGACCTAAATGCCACTTGTCTTTTCACCTGTTTTTCAATTAAATGTGGCGTTATTTCCATTGTTTCTTGCCTTATAATTCCTACTGTTTCAATAGGTTTTTGCTTCTTTCTACTTCATCAAGCAACAAACCTTGAATTTGGGACATTATTTCACTACCAATGGCTACTGAACTGCTAGTGAAAGGTTTGGTTCAGGATAAAGTAGGACAATGAGTAAATGAAGGCCTGTGGGTTTCATGTTGCCTGTCTGGCTTCTCATTTGGACCTAAGGTTAAATGTCAAACATCACTTTTACTGAATACAAAGCAGAATAACTGGGAGGGGGAGGAAATTAGGGGAGGGCAGAGCTAAAGAAGAGCTTCCAAGCAAACACCTCAGATATCAAGAGAAGCCCTTTTCAATTACTGGCCCAATAGGGACTCGGTAGAGACTGGCAGAGAGAGATTTGCCCCTTAAGAGAGGCAGCACCACATATCTGCTGCCTCGAAGATTCAGAGTCTAGTGATGGGCTGGATCTTTGGGAGCACCGTGAGCTCCCTGAGCTAAGGACAGTGCAGCCTAAGGCAGCCAAGAAGCTACACCAGATGCTGGGAGATCCTACCACCACAGGAGATAGAAGACTAGGCTGGGGACCATAGTGTGCACACAATAAGTTCTCAGAAAATAATCCCACTCAATGGACAAAATTACTTTTAGCCCTAGTTTTATGCTTGCAAAAGACATTTCATTTCTCTGAACTGTTTGCTTCATCCATAAAATGAGACTGACACACCATTTAAATTTCTTTGGAGGAAAGAAAATTTTGCATATGAAGACATTTAGCAAACTCTAAAACGTTCCACAGCTATAGGGAATGGCTAGAAAGGTGCTTTCGTTCCTACTTCCAGATATGCCCAAGTATTAACGTTGTGGTCACTAAACATCAATGACCAATTTTCTTATTGGAATTTTTCTGTGCAATAAAATAGGGAGGCTAACATTTCTAGAAATATGCAATTTATCTGTAGAACTAAACATTTATTTTCATTTTGAATGAGGGTATAAGACGACTTAGAAATCTTTTTTCCTGACTTGATCATTGTGCAAAGCAATTCAATAAAATAAGTATTCATCACAAAGGTGCCCTTTCTGTCACACATTAGTTCATTCAATTGTATTATTTCCTTGGGCTGTGAAGTCAAGGGTAACCCAGAGCTCAGGGGAGACTAAGTAATATAAACACGGTAGTAGTCTGCATGGGCTGCCATAACAAAATACCGAAACACCATAAACTGGGTGGCTTAAACAACAGAAATTTATTTTCTCAGTTCTGGAGGCTGGATGCCTGAGATTAAGGTGCCAGCATGGTCAGTTTATGGTTAGGGTTCGCCCCTTGCTTTATAGATAGTCATGTGACTTCTTTGTGCCAAAACACACACACACACACACACAGAGAGAGAGAGAGAGAGAGAGAGAGAGAGAGAGAGAGAGAAGAGACACCAAACTCTTTGGTATCTCTTCTTACAAGAGCACCAATCCCATCATAGAGCCCTCACCCTCATGGCCGCATCTAACCCTAATTTGCTCCCAAAGGCCCTATCTCAAAATCAAATACCATCACACTGTGAGTGAGGGTGGATTTAGGGATTCAACATAAATTTTTAAGGGGAACAGTCCATAACAATTACCTAGTACCAATAAAATGTTTTTAAACCATTGGTTAAATAGATGAACTATTCAATAAAGGTATTCACATATTAATTAAGTTTCCAACTTGCTAAAAACCGAAAGAGAAGACATGTGTATTTTAGAATGTTAATCAGCTATAGGTATTAGGATGGATTTTAAAGTTTATGAAACTTAAGAAGCAATGTGGAACTATATCATGTCCTTGAATAAATAGGAAGAGTTAATATTGAAATATCTTTCCTCCAACTTAATCCCAATCAAAATCCCAATGCAGATTTACTGAAAACTTTGCAAAATAATTCTGATTTTCACCTAGAAGAATAAATACTATGTATCAATATCTAAGAAAATTTTGAGAAAAACAAGTATTTGATTTAACAGAAGTTTAAACAATATGGTGTAAAAAAGAGAATTAAAAGGTTATCAAAGGAATAATATATGATATCTAGAAAAATACAATAAATTTAGCATATGATAAAATGGTTTTTAATCAGTGGTTAAATAGATGAATTATTCAATAACTGGTATTGGGCTAACTGGCTAAATATAGGATTTTTTAAGTCATACATCAAAATGAATCCTAAAAGCATTAGACTTTTGAAATGAAAGAAAGAAGGAAGGAAGGAAGGAAGGAAGGAAGGAAGGAAGGAAGGAAGGAAGGAAAGAAGGAAGGAAAAAAGGAAGGAAGGGAGGAAGGAAGAAAGGGAAAAGAGGAGAGAACAGAAAGAAACTTGCAAATACTAGGAAAAATATAGTTAAATCTAAATATTTTCATATTTTAATAGGTAAGATATTTTAAAAAGTGACACTCAAGAAAATTCATTGAGAATAAAAATACCAAAAGTATGAAGACATTTTCAAAATCACTAGAAATCAAAG